ATTTTTGGTGCTGCCAGGTATTTCCTGTCGTGAACTGACATTTTTCATGTGCGCTATCAAAGCTGGGTAATCACTTCACTTTACTTTGTATTTTGTGATACATCTGAATACACAGTTTATTTTAGAAAAAATCTCTATTTTCCTTTCACGTTTGAATATGTCAAGACCACAAAGTGCCTCCCTGCTAAGTGTAAAGGCAGATGCAGACAAACAGAATGCAACTCTAAAACAAGCAATGTCAATTTCTTACTCTCAATGCTTTGTGCTCTTCTAAACCAGCTATCCTGCATCAATGTATCGTGTGTCTTGTTACTCATTACATTTAAATCCATAAAACAAAATTATTTTATCGAATAATGGCCATATGAGGGCACATACAGTATGTACAAAATTGAAAACCCATTTGCCTGTTCATTTAAATGTTAAATGTTTTTTATTTATAAAAGAATGCTGTAATTGAAAAAAATGTCATAATGAATTCCCCTTACAGCAATAAGTACAGTAGATGCACAGTATTAGTTTCAGTATCTCTTTGGTAAAAACAAAAACTGAATTGCAAAAGATTTTAAATAAAACTGTGATTCAGTTAGATAAATGATCTTTTTTATTCATTTTTTAAATCTACCAAGAAAAAAGAAAACTGTATAAAGTTTTCTTTTTAGTTACTGTATAAAGTATAAAGTCACAAGGCTGTCAAAAGAAAGACATCTGGATAAAATGGCCTCTCTGGAAACTTTGAAGTGATTTTTGTCTGTTAATCCAGACGAATTTGCTTTGAATGTCTCCTGTCCTCTGCACTGCAAACCTTGTACTTGTTCTTTTGCCTTTGATCTGAAGCAATACTACCAATACGCTTTCTGCCCCCCTAAATCTTTATGGTCCAGCTGGCAGACTTTATTCCTGAAATGCTGTAGAATCGCGGAGATAAAGTATGAGCAGCAGATCAAGTCAGACAACACTAGGTCCTAGATGGTCTGTTTAAACACAACCAGTCATTGTAATATCATCTAACTTTTCCTGAGTCTGGAAACCACAGAACACTTAAGGAAAACTAAGAACAATGGAATTAGCCTGATTAGGAAATACAGGTAGCTGTAGTCCTCTCTTGACCCTGCTATCATATGGCTTACCACTTGTGCCTGAGAGCCTAAATGTGATCATCAGCAATAAACATACTGTATTTAGCTACATTCTTCCACAGATCAACAAATGAAATGCCAGGGACCGATACACATGTAGTGCACAAAGAACACATCAGGAAAACAAAATACACCAGAGCTCATACACCTCTAGTACATCTCTAATTGTATATTGTATGCTTTGTTAAAAGTAGTATCTCAGATTCTCAGAAAGTTCTACCTGAAAGGCGACATACAGGCTATTATGAAGCTAAAGGTCAAAGGTGATCAGAACTATTGTATATGTCTTCATTCCAAAAGAGATAGGAAAGAGATTCAGTATGTAATGCACTCTCGATAACTATAGCATACAAGTATCTATTCCCGTATTTGATACACATACTGCTTTAATACTACAAAAGCAGCCGATGCGGGTAACTTGTTCTAGCCTTGCAAAGCCAGTAATCTGTTATTATCTGGGAACAGAAGAAAAATTCATTCAATTCTCCTGTTGGCATGGAGAAAGATTAAAAAAAATACACAATACATGTGTTCTTTCTTGCTGAAAATGATTTTACAGTGGAGGCGACCCTGAAACAATCATTTCAAAATCTCACAATAGCAACAAATGAAACACAGACCTTTAAAAAAAATGCTACTGAGACAAGGTCATTTCCACCTGAGTTCTCACAAGGTGAAGCTGTACCATGTTTGTCCAAACCAGAACAGATGAATCAGACAGCTCTTGGTGCAGAAGATATATTTGAAATATTTGAGTATTGTTATGTATTTGATAAAAATGTTGTAAAATCCATAACACAACATCCATAAGTTCTTACAGCACAACAGAGAATGATAAAGGAAAAACTGTTGATGAAATCAGGGGAAGGAAAGTAAATAATATAGGCAGGGAGGATTCAGTAGCATTTAATTACATCTTCATCTTTTTAATTTCATTGTTGTAATCCACCAGCATGCTTAATTGCAATGTCAGTAATTAACATGGCTCTACTATATTTGGAATTTTCTTTTGTACAGTAGTGTAAAGATTCCTGAGAAATAAATAACACATATTGGTTACTTCTGAAACTGTTTTTCACTTCTGGGCAACCAGAAATTACTTTTCCGAATGATAACACAGCAACACATCTCGGGACCATTTTCACATGAAACCTTTGCAAGCCAGGTTTTAATCACAGCCACTAACACCGTGGTATCTCAAAGAAACAAGCCATTTCAGTGGAGGAATATACCACTACACACGTGACGCCACTATGAAATCCACTCAAGTGACTACTGAAGAGTGCTCCTGGTAGACAGGCCCTTGCTGTGTAAAATCCCTGCAGCCTGACTTGAGGTTCTGTAATCTCCCTGCCTGCTTGCAGTGTCAGGGAGTGAGTGACTGCATTCTGTATTGACTGGTGCCTTTTAGATGCAATCTGAACTTCCCTGGTCTGACACTTGTCTCCTGCTACCTCCCTAGGGCACTTGTAAGACACACACACAGTGGCCTTTGATGAAACCATAGCATTTGTTGTTCTCAATTCCAATAGGTTCAGTCACATTTCACATATAGATCAAGCATTTAACAACCAGCTGCTTGTGCTACCAAAACCAGAGACTGGGTGAATCAAATGGCATGCCTCCTGTGTTTAACTTCCTATGAACCAGTCTACTTAGAAGATGTTTACAGTTCAATAGCTTCTGAGGGTAAGTCATATTTCTCGTATTCCACATATGTAGACAATTTTAATACGTAAAGAAAATTAATCATTTTTTTTAGATATTCAGCTTCACATATGCACAGAATTTCTATAAGCACATACATAAATCTACATACATGCACAATGTTCACTGAAAATTTCCCAGACTCTGATAATAACCAATATTAAGTCATATTTCATATAAAATATTTTTGTAAAAAGACTAATACATTTTAATGTGCACAAAATTGTTCTTTTTTTGTGAAAAAGTTCAGCTTCACATTCGCATTAAACTTCTCTGAGCATGTAAATAAATCTATATATATACAGTACCATGTTTCACAGGAAAAGCCCCAAGGTAGAGGAAGGACTGAAATAAAGCTAAGAGGTATCCTTAAAACATACAGTACTGTATGTACTGTAGGATCTACAAAACAAAAATGCTTTACAATGACTATCTTTGTATGCTTGCTCTCATCCATATATCACACTAAACAAATAAAGGAAGAACATGACTGGCAGGAGCTGGAAACTGATGAAACTCCATGGGTGAACTTCATTCAACATTGTGCTCAAGCACAATAAATCTATTGCACAGGACAAAAAAAAATTATAATAATGATTCAAGATGAGTGAAGAACATGGTTCATCAGTGTTCGACAGAAAGCTGTTTCAGACCCTTATTCAAAGCAAGGTACAGCAGAATTACAGTTGTGCATAGAGGTTAATAAGATAGCCAGACTGCTAATGAAAAATCAAATTGGTAGAAGTCACAAGAGAATCAAACAGAATGACATTTACGGCGAACAACTATTTCTACAGCACAAAAAGACAAGCTGCAACAGGAGTGGAAAAACAAAACTCCTTTTAATATGAAAGGTGTTGATTCTCTATTTTCTCTCTGTGGCTTTGTCTGAGAGATATAAATTAGATAGCACCCTATACCAGCAGCCTAATGATGGAGTAAAGACTCAGGTTCCAATGAAGATCATGACTAGAAGAAAAAAAGCCCGAATGGGAAGCCAAATACAAAAGACAGTTTATTAAAGAAAGAAATTGGCAATGTATAATTTTCTGCCAATTTGCACCTTGTAATTTAGACAGGCTCAGGTGTCAGAGGGTACTTGTTTATTTCCGTTTTCTACGCTGTATGAATAATTTCACACCTTTAGATTAGCACAGACTACAATAAAAAACGACTTTAATGGATCTCTAGAAAAAACATTTCTTAAATAGCACGTCTTCCCTATTATAAACCCTTTCCCATGTATATTTTATCATGAAATGTCTGGCCACAGGCGGCAATCAGCATTATTCATGCAGGTTAGGGGAAAATGACAAATGGCTGTACTTTGGAGAGTTATTAATCGGAGGTGCACAGCACTTGTGTGGTGTGATATATTGGGGATGAAAATTGCCTCACAGTGTTCAATTTAAAATCAAGGCTGCAGAGGTTTTGAATAATGACATACATTTACTGATGTGGTAGTACTGCATGTTGTGCCTCTTCGCCTTGCAGCTGGGATGAGGATGGGAAGAGAGCTGCTGTGATTTGGTAGATTAATGCACAGACAGATTTCCTTTTCTAAAGGAAAGTGGGCAGGCATTTATCTTGAAAAGAAATTGAAATAAAAAGTAAAAAAGTGACACGCAATGAATAATCCTCTTATGCACAGACAAGTTACATAGCTTATTCATGAGTAACCCTACAGGTATTTTGACAAGAAGGACCCCTAGATTATTTTGCACTTTTGCTACTTGCGGCACACAATTTTGCGTTTAAACACATTCTGGAAATGGAGTTCTAAGAATCAAGGCAATGATATAACATTCATGAACTGCCATTTCCATACCAGATAAAATGCTGCGCATGTCTTTAGATACAGAAAGCACTGCTTAACCTTTGACATCCTATTTTATGTGGATGAAACACAGTAATTTCCTTTCTAGGGACCTAGGCAGATCAGATGTGGATTTTAGTGATACAGTATGTGTATATAATTTTTAAGTCGCGTTAACTTTCTTCATATGCTTCTTATATTAGATATTTGATGGCCACACATTTGCACATTAAAAATAAAGACAAGTTTCAACGAATATTATTTGACTATGATCTTGCACGGGTAGCACTAATGAGAATAAAAGAAAGGTGAAGAAAACAGAAAAGTAAAAGATGTACCTGTGCTTCTCAGAAAGCCATCCCAATTAAAGTTTTCAGTAGCTTTGGTTTCGATCCCTATAACACGAAAAAAAGCCAAGAATGTAATTATATACCCTACTAAAATTTTATTTTATTTATAGTAGTTAATTTTATAGCAATATTCTATTGAAAGCAATGGGGAAAAACAATATCAGCAAATAGGTATTAAAATCTACCAGCGCATGTACACTCTAAAAATCAGTACCCAGAACACTGCTGGAGTAAAATCGACAATACTTAGTGGTAGTAATTTTTACAAGTACTGAAATAAATCAGTGTTATTATATGGTGTTGAGCATTCCTAAATAATACATCCTTATAACATCCTCACATCTATTTAGCATTGTTTTTAAAGGCATTTGAACATGCAGCCTGTCAAAATATATGCAGCTCTATGGCAGTATTGAAAGTCAAGTGATACAGAAACAAGCAAAATAACAAAAAATAAAATAATAACAAATTGCTACATTTTCCCAAATCACAGACACATGTTGGACTTCATACTGTTCCAATTTCATATATTTACACTATATAAAAATGAGATCAGACTGGTAAAATCTGACACCTTCTTCTTGCAAAGATGTAAAACTGCAGGTCAGATACACTGCCTTCTGCTACAAATGGGAATTGTGCATAAAATTATCATTTGGTGACATTTCTAAACCCCACTAAAGGTCACCCTGTTTATCTTCTGCTACACTTGACTTTTAACACAAGCACCCAGCTTTTTTTTTTGCCGTCCCCATGCAACACCAAGCCTGCATGATGCTGAAAACAGCTACCTATGTAGAGCAACTGGGTAACTCTTTCATTCATTTGCACAGCAGATTTGCCTAATATAGCTCTGTATTATCCAAAAGCCACAGACAGGCATACAAATTGAAACTGTCATCTAAAACAGTCCAAGAAAAAAATTATTTAACAGTGTTAATATTAGCCCCTAATTCTTAACGGACCATGGCCGTGAGTTGGAAAAACGAACATATTTTAAAATATCTTTATTAGGTGTTCTATAAATAACAGTTAAATGATAAGGGTTTTTGGTACTCTTAGATATACTCCCCTTACACCTCCTTAGAAAACGAATAAAGAGGCATCTAGATGATATCCAAACAATAGCTTGTAACAGTGGACTTGAGTCTGTTATCGGCCAATTGGGAGGTTTGACAGACAGACTGCATCCACAGGTGCTGTCTCTTGTTTCTGAAAAAGTTTCTATTTCCGTTGGTCCTGGCTCTGTATATCTGTATTCCTGTCCTCATGCATTGTGATGCACACAAAGTCCACCCACCTCTGTTCTACTTCTGTCTGTTTTCTCGCTGGGAGATTTCCATCCGAATGTTTCAACCAAATTCTAGCACAGGAACTTATACTGTGTGACTGACAGTTGCCAGATATCAATTGTCAAAAGAATCCTACTCACCACTGCTGTGTTATTTAAATAGATCACATCACATGTTTTTTTGCACCTTGTAGTGACCACTACATCTGAGCAAAATCCAACTGTCTTATAACACAGTCATGCCACAGAAGAAACCTTTGGATTCTGAGCATGATTATAAAAGAGATCCAAGTTTAAACTGGGTGTCACAAACTTGAGAGGATGACAGCAACATGTAATCTGTAACAAAACAACACTGCATACAGAGGAAGATTTCAAACTACATTCCTGGACAGACTGCTTGACATATTTGAGTTATCTGATGAGGGTGTGACAACAAAAAAGTGACAGCAATCCTCCTTTGACACATGTAAGAATACACTAGCTCATGCAGAAATTGCAAACAACACAAAATGCACCCACATGCAATACAAGTACACACCCAAGCAAATGCAACTATAGCTAGTTGTGAACAGCAAGCATACACTGGTGCTGAAGGGCTTACCTTGGGGCTGGACACAGATTTTAATGCCTTGGGATGGCTTTAAGAATGAAACATCAATTAGGCCTAAAACTGCAAATGATTTATTACCAATTCATATTTTAGTATGTCCATACAAATTACAGTTATCTTCTGAATGGAGTGTTGCAAATTGTGATGTTTCATGACAGACCTTTCTGACACTTCTGTCTAAGAATTCATTAAAGATCACAGTAACAGGGACATTCATTTTTTCATCCACATTAATCAAACAACTTAAACCAAACCACGACCTAGATAAAATCTGGGCCAATTTGTTTTCTTCATTTCTTTTACATTAAATTATATTTACTTAGCAAGAAATGTAAATGAGTTACAGTTAGTAAATCCAAGAATTTAGTGAAATTGTCGACAATCACAATGTGCTCTTTGGCACAGAAGATCTTTGTCATTTTGTATAACCTGAGACTAGAGATCTGGTGTCTTGGATTTAATAATGTGACTTTAGAAACTATTCTTGGTATGGGGGATTCTAATAACATAAGGGAGGAAATGGGCTTTCAATTTTTGACAATTGTCCATAATATTTTCTCAGCTGGAAGAAATAAAGGCAACAGCAACAACTGGTCAAAAGCAAACACAATTATGACCAAATTAAATTAGGCTTGACCAGAAAATGCTCCCAAATACATAGTTCTCAGAAGCACAGCAGTATGTTTTGGACTCTGCAGTAAAGTAGAAATCACTATGATAATTCTAAATTATTCCAAGATAATGAAAAGGAAATTGCGTGAATCTTATCAAGCTATGTTCAGATCAGCTTCCATAGATCGAAGCATTTACTTTCCATCTCAATAAACACAGTACCCAGGGTATATTCCAGAGAACTGTTTTATTCATGATTATGTGCTGCCAAAACTAAATGACAGAGATAAGGGTGCCAGTTAAAGTCAATTTGCCACCCTGGGGGAGGAATGCAAACTAAAAATACACTGTAATATACTTTATTGCAGGATGACTATAAATTGAGCTGGATATTTTTTTGTTGTGGTCATTTTGTTAAATCTAAAGCTTTTTTTCTGAGGCATGAGCCGTAACCATACTGATTCACGGCAGACAGCATCTGCCATTTTGTTTTCAATGGAAATGTTTTATCTTTTATGATCAATCTTTAAACTCTTGTGACCCCTCAGCTTTAAACAACTGTACATGCTATACAGTATCATCATGCCTCCCAGTAATTCCCTGAATCTCATTTGCCTGATTCAATACTTCAATACCAGTTCTTACAGGACTTTTGAACAAGTGTTTCTTTTTCTTTAATCAAAACACATTTGTTGCACCAAAAACAAAATACTTTCACTTTCAGATTTGCAGAGCTTTCTTCAGTTTCTATAATGGAATAATAGTTGCATGGATCTAAAAAATGTAGCACATTTTGTAGCACATTTACCTAATGGTGTACTACATTAAACTACCATTTTTAAATTTCAGATACATTTTTTTTACATTTTCATTGGTAATTGTTTCTAGTTTTTTATCCCCATTTGGAATCACCACTTTGTAATCAACTTGTTTTTTTGTTAAGGTGCTTGTAGCAGCATGGGAGAAATAAGGATGTTTTCTTCTGAAACACACAGCATATACAGCCCAGTGAGCACCATCTGATTGAGTGATGCAGCTCAAAATGAAAACACTGCAATCTCACAGGTGCCCTACTAGTCCCCCAGGTCTCATGTCCTGCTGTTTGGAGATTATCAGTTATAGTCAGCTGATGACATGACCTATTGATAAAAGGACTCTGCTTGCTCCATGTGAGTGCCTTTTTTTAAAGGCTGAGCAAATTAATTTCATTCAAGGCGGACCATTTTTTTATCCAAATATACAATATATATAATATATAATATACAAATACAAATATGGTCAGCAGTAACTAAGATCTAATCAGGAAATGCCTGTGTTACACTGAAATGTTGGCCATTTTGTCAGCACAAACTGTACTTGTCTTAAGCTAATTCTGGTTACGTCCTTCAGAGCTGACTCAGAGCAGATAAGAGTGTACTGCTTATGTGCAATCAGAGTGAAAGATGAGCCCTCCAAGATGCTAAAATCTGGAAGATGTATGTAGAGTATGCGTTTATAAAATTGTTGTAACTGGAGAAATTAGGGTAAAGTACCTCGTTCAAAGACACCAAGGATGTGTCTCATATCCACGTCACTAACTAATGTACCATATTGCCTCCTTCCTACTCAAATGTAAATCACCCCAAATGGTTTAGTTCAGAAAACATTTTTCCCTTCCTACTTCTGTCCAATATTTAAAATGCTCTGAATATGATCCAAGAATTGTAATCTGAAAAAAACAATCATACCCAGTACGTTTCTGCCTCTTCTTTCAGTTTTTCTGTGAACGCAACAGCAAACCTGTTAAAAAAAAGGCCAGAAGTATAATGTTGAACCTGATGATTCTTTCCTAAAAATCAGCAATAAGCACGGACTGATTACAAGATTCTTGGAATTACAATTTATGAATTGGTTAAAGATAGAAACATTTCCTAGATTTGCCTCTGGCACAGTGATTTTGGAAACATAACAATGCATAGTTGATGATTTAAGTTAAAGACGCTATACTTCTACTTATTCAGCAAAGGGCAAGTGGTCATGTTTTTAGGTGAATGAATTTCATGAGGTGCGCTGACAGAGGTATTTGAAGTCAAAATCCCACATTTTGTTACCCACAGGCAATTAACCAGTTAGACATCTAGATGGGTGTCTTGATGTCTACAAAATCAAGACACTACAAGAGAAAGACTTTTCTGACTTTTTTATTGAAAGCAATGTGTCAAATGCACAAAGAACATTAATAATACTTGAAATATATACGTTACCAGATGCTTTGCAATATTCATCTTAGGAGCCAAGTTTACAATAGCAGCCACGTTTGCAGAGACGACATGAACATTTTATTTCCCATTACCACCATAAACACTAGTTGATTGTATGATCACTGAATACTTATTTAATTTTAGTCAAAACAAAATACTGTATTGTGTTTGCTGTAAAGCACTGATAGCTCACAATAATTCACAGTCAGAATTTTGCAAGAAATAAAATTGCTAAGAATTCAGTGTGATTTATTTTTTGTTGAAAACACTATATAAATTGTATATAGTTCAGATGCAATTTAAATTGTAACAGTCTTTTCCTCTGTTTTTTTTATTTTTTTAAGGTATTCAAAGGAAGTATTTTAAGTATAAAATAAACTACCATTATAAGCATAAATGAATCCTGAAAAATACAATCTGGTACAAAATGGCTTCATGAGCTAGAGTACATTAAGAATTTCAGAAAATGTATTTGTAGGAAAATTCTTATTGATGGTGTTTAACCTCTTCTTTCTGCATAGAAAGGTGTTTATTATGCAGTATTCTTTGAGGAAAGAAAATTAAAAAAATGTCTGAGTATTTAAGAGTCCTTTGATTGTTCCTGTCTATTTTTTCTACATGCCAAAAGGCAGCTTTCAGCTGTAGTAAAACGACCTTATAAACTCCCCCTGAAGGGTGAATGATAGAGCATGCAAGCAGCAAATTTAACAACTTTAAATTATGACCATTTTGTTTCTTACAACAAAAGCTGGGGAGAAATGAATAGTACTTTAGATTTGTTTCAATTTTATTCTTTAAATGTATACTTATATGCGGAAGAATTTAAATAGTATCGATACAGTAAAAACAAGACACCAAAACGTTTTCCAGCTGGGGTACTGTTCTGCTGTTCAAGCGTTAAGCTTTATTTGTGAACATTCTCCCGATTCCTACATTCAAACCCAAGTTCTTAAAGAACGTCATTGACACAACAACATAAAAATAGTTACAAACAAGAGGAGATAATTTGGCCCATCTATATTGCCTTTGTTAGATAATGTATTTCGACATGGCTGGGATGCTTGTTCTGTATACCTATAACCCTCTGTGTAAAGAAATGGGTGTACAATAATGGGTATAATTCACTTTTTATGTGCTCAGGTTGGCGTTTTGATGGTTGATTCTGAAGACATCCCTTAAGTTGACATGATCATTGCCTCTGAGCCCAAGAATGTAACCAACAGCTCTTCTACGAACTGATTTGAGAACAGCAATATTTGTTGTATCTTGTTACCAAAACTGTACACATTATTTTAAACAAACTCCTAAGACTGCCTTACACAGTTTTCGTATAACATCCTTTCATGTAAATTCTATCATTTTTAACTATATATCCTAACATGTCACAGTGCTTTTCTTACACACAAGGAATTCCAACCTTCAGTCTTATTTAACCTACCAATGTCTTCTACTACCACTTGACTTCCTGGACATCATTCTTGTGAAAGATCCTGATCCATTTCTTCCATTAAAATATTCAGTGAATGCAGACACAGATTTAAAGAAGCAATCAATACATGTTAATTGATTGGTTGGGCGAATCACATGCCTTTCAATGATGGTAAAAGCAGAAACTGTATTACTTGTTTCAACAAAGCAATTCTGAATACAAAAGCACTGTCAGATCTTTATTTTCCTAAGAACTAAGAAGGGACTAAGAATTCTGAAGACTATGAAATTGAATTTCTTGATCTATATTTTTACATTATAAAGATTAATTCAGAGAATTGAATAAAAGAAAATAACCTTAATTATTAGTGGTTTTAACCTGCTTTAATATCTCTCTCTTATTATAAAGATAAATATTTAAGTATAATCCAGTTTCTCAGTGTAGTGTTGCATTAGTATAAAATCCTATTTACACAGTTAAAGGACAAGTGCAAAGACATCCTCTTAATGAAAATTATACCATCAAAAGATAAAACAACAGTCATACTGTACACATTGCAGGATCAAACAAATATTTGGATTTACCTTGCTTTCTTTAGCACCTTCCCCATGACTGCTCGTTTTGTTTCGTCTTTTACATCTTCGTTAATGTCTGTTCCTCCAAACACAACACCAAATGGAGCTTGGCAGTCTAGTGCAACATTAAAGCCAAATTAAATCCAACACTATAAATGTCCTCCTTCTCTCATGTTGGAAACCAGTACTAGGTCACTCTGTAGTTCTGCAACTGTACATATTTTTATATGTCTTACAATAAAAAAATCAAAATAGATTACCCACAGGTCAGTCTGAGTCAAAATACATCAGTTATTGCAAACTTCAATTACAAAGAACATACCAATTAAATTATGACAGAAAAAACAATTAGCTGCATCCTGTATTGTTTGTAATGTGCCTTTTGCAGATATGTGTATCCTGTCTTCCTGGAATTTAGCTGCAAAAGCGGGATTACTTTATTCTGTGACCTATGAAACTATCAAGACGCATTAAAATTCATAGTTTGTCATATATAGATGTAATCATGAAATGATTATCAGACAACTATTGGAATGGTTACATTGGTTATAATTTGATAAGTTGGAACACAACTTAAAAGTATAAGTTTAGACAAAATGGAAACAAAAAACATTAAACAATTTTCAAAAGCAAAACTAAAATTATTTCAGAAGGTTTGCATATTCCTTAGTTAGCAACATCACAGTGGGTATTATGTTCTTAGACTCTATTATTTTTGTTTACATCAAATGCACAATAAACTTTTATTTTCACTCCAGCAACAGGGCAGGTCAGGCAAAATGGAAGGCTGTGGGGAATGAGCTGCTATCCTCAGACCCTGATCGGTCACGTAACTCTTAAAAACACTGGGAAAAGCAGCTCTTGGGAGAAGGAGTCTCAGAGTCTCATGAATATGAGAATATGACATAATTAACATTTTACGTAATACAGAATTTATAGACAGCCAGCTCTGGTTTGCAATGAATCAGCTTGCTGACACTAAACAACATCTCATCTGGAGAACTGGAGAAAAAAAATCAAAGAAAAAGAAGATGAAATGATTGTTTCACCTAGCAGGAACCTGCCTCCTTTATAAAGATGAATGGCGAGTGCAGCCTGGAAGAATGGCTCTTCTGCTATTAAATGTGCCACCTTTTCTGAAGACTTGAGATCTGCTGTATCTTGAAGAACACAGGTGTGACCTACTGATTCGATGTGCTCTCTGAAAGAGAAACAGAAAGTTCAATAAAGTATAGTGATTTACCAAATCTTTGTGTATTAATCTTCTTCTATCTGGTTCGGAGACATACAGTATTTAATTTGTTACATATATTACACATACCAACAATTTTAGAACTTAAAGTGAAAATACGCGTTTTTTTAAATATAAATAATGTATTCTGCATTAGAAAATGTGAATAAAGAGGAAGGTGCCGATACATTCACTGAAAAAGGTATCTAACTCCAAGATTGTTACTCAAGAAAAATACTTGCACCAGTTTGACATTGTTTGGGTAGAAGAGCATTGTATGAACAAATTCAGGACATGCAGATAATCGCGTTATAAAACGTAAATAGGACGTTTGCCTACTTTTAAATTAAAATAAATATCCTTGCAGAGAGGGTGCCCGCTTCGCAACTTTTCCGGTCTGGATAAGCTATTTTTCCCACAATACTTGTTTTCACTATTTTATCTTCCCTCCGGTCAAAACACGAACATGAAACAATTTTCTCCCCAGTGCATCACGAACAGCTGTACCTGCATACCAGCTCGATGGATATCCCGGCAGGCATTAATTCGAGATTAAAGGGTACCGCGCAACGATGTTAATGCTCGCAGGTGGAGAAACCTTGCTCAGACTTGCTGCTGTGTGATTTCCACATGCCTTTCTCCCTTTCTTACCTTATTCTTTCAGCGGTTGTACAGTTCCCCGTATTTTTACTCAAGCAGGCCAGAAAGAGCAACTTCATAGTGGTATTAAATTGTATGCTAAAAAAAAAACCTTTACAGTCAGTCACTCCGTTCTTTTTATTTTTAAAAACAAGTTAGGTAAACACGTACACTTATTACATTAACATCATTTAAAGCTAATTAAATTGCCTCGCACTCACAACCTTACTGAAGTCCGCCTAGATAAATCTTCCCACTAGCAACACCTACACAACGTCATTTCATACCCTACCGATAAGGTTATACTGTATTTAGTCCCACGTCTGCTCAGGTGTTTTCCGTATTATCCTGTATCAACATGTTTGATTTTACGAAGTCTGTTTTTCTGCTCCACACAACTAACATGGTAACATGTTCAGACAGGCACGGCCACTTTAATTATCGTTTAATTTGCATAGAATTATTTAATTAAGAAAATCAGTACAGTAGTAGAGATGCACGGTGAAGCATCATTAAACTTTATTGTTCAGTGCTACATGCGTAACTGTGTGAATGTGGTCAAATAAATAATAAATATGGGTAGCTTAACCTCCACTATAAAGATAATACAAAATAATGAAGAAAATAATCCAAGAACTCCCCTACCACGCTAGAATGTCTCAATTTTACATTTGGGTAAACATCCAATTGAAAAATCTGTTATTTCGGTGTGTAATTATTCTTATAGCGAGCTAATGCCAAGTTTGTGGAGACACTAGTGTTAACTACAAACCTTTTCTCTCTACACCTGACATTTCTTGATGACGATACTGTTGCTTGATTACTCTGAAAAGTAGTTTTTTAATGACACTTCAAAAAAACAGGAGTGCTAACAGAACACCAACAGTGTGCCCTAAGGTCAATGGTGATTGTTCAACAAAAACACCAAAAACTGTGAGAAAGCTTGCAGCTTTTAACTATATTTGTCTTCCCGAATACAAATGCATTGTCAATTACTCAAGAATGCATTCTGGAACGATGAAACAAAAAATACAGTGATGTAGACTTCAACCTAAGCTTATTGAAGTTTAATATGATGTGCGATTCATCGATACAGGCGCGATAGAAACTTAACATCAAACGAACAGCATAAGATTGTACGAGCGAAGTTTAATTCTAGGACTAAGGTCGTTGTCTTTCATGTCTACATTGGTGCTGCATGTTTCTGAATTGTGTCAGTATTAGAAAACTATACTGAAAAATGTTAATCAGTCACAGTTCTATTCTACCAGAGTTTTGTAAAATGGACATTTCTGCAAGCACGCTTTCTGAAAACGTCCATGTTTCTATAGAAATGTCTCAATGATATTTTCATAAGGTACTCTCGCTGCAACCTAGCTAATGCTAAGTACAGTAGGCCTGCAAATCAGTTGAATATTTTAAATTTCAATTTGAATGGTACAATCGCCTATAATCTTAAAATGCTTCATTAGTAACCAATATAGTTAGGTTTGTAATGTTAAAGCAATTACCAAGAAAATATATCACTGCCACCTGCGTTCAATGTTAAAATGAACTGCGCGTGTCTGATTGCTCGTCCCGTATAGAAAATGTATGTTTACAAGCAATCCAGGAAGTTAGAAATCAAACAGAAGTGATTGACAATGATTTTGTCCAATAGTTGGGCCAGATTATTTCACTCGAGCCAATGAGACTCCAGTGAACCGAAAAGGGGCAGTATCAAATGTCACGCGGTGGTACTATGACTCTGAGTTCATTTTTGGACCAGTTTGTGGAAGTAGAGAAAGTCTGTTTCTGTTCCTTGTGTGGGGGGGGGGTTCTCGAAATTAAAACTTATTTCGACAAATCTTTTTTAAAATAAAAAAAATGAGTAAGATACATGGAGGTAGTTCCGAAGACCGAACAAAGGTAATATACAGCTCTAATATATAAAGCTATTCACCGGTTAAAAAGGGCATAGATTGGTTAAAAAGTTAGCTGTCGTTAAATGTAAGTTTCCGTAACTTTCAGTTGTGTTGCCAGTGTAGTCGGAATCAGTTTTTTTATTAACTACCTTTGGAGTAACTTCGTGTAGCATGTTTTATGGTTGTTGTTGTTTGGGTATTTTAGTTACAAGCGAGTATTTAAAAAAACAGGTTCTTCAGTCAGCCCTGCATCTAATACTGTAATATATTAATGTCAGTAGCACTCATGTGGATTATGCAGTTAACACTGAATTACAGAATTGTATGTTAAACATCAAGCACATTTCCTGTTAACGCAAATTCCATTCCCTTCGCGTTTTTGTTATTATTCCACGTATGTAACTTCACTAAGGACTAAGTACACATAAAAAATAACAACAAGACAGCCTTCTCATTTCTTTTTTAGTGGTCTTGAAGCCGATTTAATTAATGAGTGAGAACAGGGTTTCATCATCTTAAGGTGTTCTGATCTTTGTCCATCTCTAAGATCCCTTGGGTCCGTGTATGAGATGTGAGATGCAGTGATTTCTGTTCCTTTTCCTTCC